GGCCGCGGTTCGCGCAAAGACAGCGCCAAACCTGATGGACCTCTTGTGGCCTTCTCTCCCATATCGATGGCCACAAACCACAACATCATTGAGTACTGCCGGACGTCGATGTCGGCGATGAGCGGATCCGTGGCCGGCATTATCGGTCTCACATCACTCTATGGCTTCGCCTTCTACTTCGTGATGGCTGTCATCCTATGGGTTATAATTGTGGTCAAAGTGGGCAACAATTGGACCAAATATTTCACTTCTCGCCGACAGATACTGACCAACGGTCTGTTCGGCGGTCTCACCACTTATGTCCTCTTCTGGACATTCCTCTACGGTATGGTTCATGTCTATTGAGTCCTACACTCCAAGACCATCGCCATCGACGGTCTATTATCTTATTTTTTGGTATATTTTTAAAGATATATTTAAATGTTTAGCGATTTTTATTTAAAATTTATAATTAATTTTGTAAATAATAGTATTATTTCGTGAATTAAATTAAGTCTTTAATTTCCAAACAAATTGATTGAAATATTGATTTACATTTCATTACAAAAATTATAGTTTAGATTAAAAGTATTGAAATAATTGTCTGTTTTTAATGTTTAGCGTTAAATATGATTTAAAAATGGGGGAGAGAAATGTATAATTAGTTGATTAACGGGTATGTAATCAACGGTTGCGTCCAAACGGGTGTCTAAATGGGTTTGATTTTAAAGTGAAGAGCGATGAGTGAGAAGACCAGACACTTGAGGTCCTGAACCAAGTAATAGAAACACCGCAAGCCTTCCGTGTCTTTGCTTTGGTTCACGTCAACCAATGAACCGATTTTGCTGGTCGTGAAACTGATGTGTTGGTCGCCGATCACGATCTCCAGCTCCTGACGGCCCACGCGGTCGGGCTGTGGCCACAGGGCGTCGTCTTCGGCCATTATCTCCGAGTCTTCAATGATTCGCTTCAGTTCTTCCAAAACACATTTGTGGACAAACGCCTCCTTCCGGATCATTGTGTCGTTCTTGTAGTTGGAGTTATTCGCGTATCGCATCTTACCTGCGATGGCCAACACATCCATCGGATCCATGGGTTCAAAGACAATGGCATGTAAAAGACAATCGAGACATTAGGCCATTAAAGCACGTGTTTGTCGTGTATTAGACATACCGTCGGGTCTGAACTCAAACTCGAGGAACTCGTGTCCAAACTTTCCTTTGTGTCCGACATAATACCGGAGGTAGAAGTCTTGAGAAGCCATCACTTCCGCGACAATTGTCTCACTATTTACCACAAAATGCTTTGAATGAAACTCAAAGCTATCAACACAACGGCGTTGTAGAGATGGACGCCTACATTGAGTAGAGGTCTTTGCATTCTTTCTATTTTTCTTCTAATTTTAGCAAAACTTTTAAACTTTTTTGCATTTCTTTTGATTTGAATAAATAGTTTGTAATTAAATATTTAATTTGATTTTTAATTGTAATTTTATTTATTTTGCGTAAATTAACATAAGTTATGTTATATAACACGTTCATTTGCATATGAC